TGTGGTGCTGGGGGATTGAACCGCGGTCCCTGTGCTTTGCTTAGCTTAGCTTAGCTTGTTCTAAGTAGGTGCTTTAGACCGCTGAGGCATCTCACCAGCCCCTGGTTCTGAATTCTTACATCAAATTTTATTGTCCATGTGGAACTGACAGGTTAGGTGAACTGCACATGCTTCAGTGTGAGTTAGTAGGGCTTCTCCTGCACATGAGAATCACGTGGGAGACCGTGACAACTACTCCAGTGTGTGCTCTACATATTATGGGTCGCTCAGAATAGGAACCAGAATAGAAGGATTTTTTATTTTTATTATTATTATTTTTTTTTTGGCTGAACCGGGGATTGAACTCAGGTCCTTGTGCTTGCCAGGCAAGCGCTTATTCTACTGAGCTATCTCCCCGGCCCCCGTATTAGAATTTAAAAGAGCCCTTTATTACTGAACTCTCAAGAGCCCTTTATTACTGAGCTCTCATTCAGGACAAGACTGAAGGGCAGCTAGCCCAGGAAGTAGAGAGCTTTCAAAACATGGGACCAGGAACCACATCTGATTTGGTAAACAGGTTTATCATCTGACATAAAATAATGCTTTCAGGATCAGTGTGACCATTATTCAACTTAAATTTTCTGGGGGCATTATTTAGTTTCTGGTTATCTTGTTCCTGAGTACACACAGCCTTGCATAGACCAAGGTTATAAGAGTTAAACCATTTTTTTTTTTTTTTTTTTTGGCGGAACCGGGGATTGAACGCAGGCCCTTGTGCTTGCCAGGGAAGCACTTATTCCACTGAGCCATCTCCCCGGCCCAAAGTTTATTTTTTTTATTTATTTATTTTTTTTGGTGGAACTGGGGATTGAACTTAGGTCCTTGCACTTGCCAGGGAAATGTTTATTCCACTGAGCCATCTCCCCAGCCCGTTAAACCCATTTAGATCCCTTTTGAAGTCATCTCTGTGGGGGCTGGGGAGATGGCTCAGTAGAATAAGTGCTTGCCTGGCAAGCACAAGGGCCTGAGTTCAACCTCCAGTTCTGCCAAAAAAAAAAAAGAAAAAGAAGTTATCTCTGTAAGCTGTTTGTTCCAGGAATTAGATTAGGGAGGAGAGGGAGACAGTTACTCATTACTAAAGAGCCTTGAACAGAGGGTGAGAACATATTCCTTAGAGTAGTAATAGGAAGCATAAGGAAAACTAATAGTTTTCCATAGTTACAGCACTAAATTCAATTGACCCATTACACTACATAGAATTTTGATTTCATTGATCTGAGGTTAAGCATTAAAATGCACTTAGGTAAATTTTAGTATCATAAGGTAAACCTAACTAAAAAATAGCTCCCCTAGCTAGACTGGCGACACACATACTTGTAATTGCTGCACAGGGAAGAGTGGTGTGCAGGCAGCCAGGAGCAGTTTGTTGTTTTTTTTTTTAATTTAATTTAATTTTCTCCATAATTTTATTGAGAAACAAATAGTGAGACAGTTTCAAATCAAATTGGTAGGACAGTTTCAATAATTAATACAGTGCATACTCTCTTCCTAGTGGTTATTTGCTATACAAGATGCAGATATTATATCCTATTTACAAAGAGTATTAGAACAAATCCCTCTTCATTAAGAGAATGTAGCTATATATCTATCCTAACCATTTTGAATACACAGATACAAAATGAACATTCATCTGTATACCCTTTTTTGGTTAATTTCTGTTATTTGAATATTACAGGTGTGTAAACTTCAGCAAAATATTCTAAAAGAGTCCAGTAGCTCATAATAGTATTGGGTCTTCCGCTTCACTGGCAGTGTCAGAAATTGTTGACCTGACCTGAGTCCCCTGCAGCTCAACATAACAGCATGGCTTTACTTCTTATACTTCGTTTTTATACTTTTCTGTTGGATGGTTAAGACCAAGATAAAGCAAGACCTATGCAACAAGAGTTGTAGCTTTTGGATCTGATTAAGGTCAGTCAAATCCCCTCAGGATTTATCCTGAGACCCTGTACCTCAGATTGTAGATCCTTTGTCAGTGTCAGCCATGTGGAACCAGGAGCAGTTTGAGGCAAGCCTGGTATACCTAGCAAGACCCTGTTCCACAAAACAAAAACATACAAATGTTTTAAAATCTTACATTTTTTAAATCTCCCCATGATGATGTTCTGTAACCACACTTGACACTCATTGTTTAAAAAAACTGAATTCCTAAACTCGCACTTTATGTTTTCTGCTAGTGACATCATTAAATCCCTGAAATTTGCCTTGATCTTGTTTCCTCACCTTTGAGTAAAAATGATATGGATCAGTGACAGTGAAATACTCGTTTTATTAGAAAACTTATTCTAACATTGTTTAGAAAAAAAACTTTATTGTTTTGTTTGCAGTACTAGGAAATAAATCCAGGGCCTTCCCATGGAGGTATATCCCCAAGCCTTTTATTTATTTATTTATTTATTTATTTATTTATTTATTTAT